TTTTTTGCGCGCTCAGTCTACGTTGACGTATCGTACATCCACGTGACTGCACATGGATGCAAGGGTTTTATTAAAGCTGTTAATGTAGTAATTACAATATTTTAAAATGAATTATTTTATCTTTGATGTTTTTACCCATGTTTATTTTTTTTAACAACAAACGATTTGTGATCCAACATTAATTAGCGGACCCCCTGCAGTACCACTGCGGACCCCTGGTTGAAGACCCATGTATTATAGTAATATATATATATATATATATATATATATTAGTGCTGTCAATCGATTAAAAAAATTAACTAATCGCACATTTTTCTGAAATTAATCGAGATTAATTAATATAAATTTATAATAATCTAACTTTTTTCTATATAAAAGTCTTGACACTTTAGTGCTCTCTTCCACCTTCAGTAACCACATCTGAGGTGCCTTTGGGTTAGCCAAACCCCAGTTGCTCCCCGGGCACGACAGCAAAGAAAAAAAAAAAGGCTGCCAACTGCTGTGGGGGTGTGCACTTGGATGGGTTAAATGCAGAGCGCAAATTCCAAGTATGGGACACCATACTTGGCCACACTTCACGTCACTTTCACTTTTCACTTTCACTTATCGGCCAAACTGAAAAAAATGACCAATAAAAAGCAGTGACTGGATTGCCATTTCTTCTTCTTTTTTTTAAATATTGTTTGATTAATATTTTTGTTTAATTTTTGCTTTGCCACATCTGCTAATTGACAGATCTGATACTTTGGTATATATCCAACCTGCACCTTAGACATAACCGTATTTAGATGAGTGCTTCATCAAGACAAGCATTTTGACCAAGAAGTGCTTTTAATCCTTTTCCTGTGCAGCTGCATTACCACTAGCCTGCTTCAATGCATGCACGTAAATGTTTGAAAGTAGCCATTTGTCAGTCTTGGCTGTGGACTGTTGTTTTACATTCCCATTTTAACCCTTTACTATTTTATCTCCTCAGTTCCTCGATTACAGTTTGCCAATGATGATAAACACCTCCTTGCCTGCTGCTCATTGGATGGGACATTGTCAATCATGACGTTGTCCCCGCCTCCACCAACTGTAAAGGTGACACTAAAGGGCCATGCTGGTCCCGTGACTGACTTCGCCTGGTCGCTCAGCAATGACATCATTGTGTCCACATCAAAAGACGGCACTCTGCGTATCTGGAACACAGAGGATGGACGCTGCATCCGAGAGGTGGCTGACCCAGAGGGCAGTGAGCTGCTGTGCTGCACTTTTCAGCCCATGAACAACAACCTGACTGTGGTGAGTCCAAATGCAAAAGTTCAGCTCAGTAAGATTCTTAAATGTTTTTGAAGGAAGTCTCTTATGCTCTAATTTGATCAAAATACAGTAAAAAAGAGTAATATCGTGAAATTGTGAATCATTTTAAAATGCAATTTATTCCTGTGATGGTAAAACTGAATTTTCAGCATCATTACTCCAGTCTTCGGCGTCACATGATCCTTCAGAAATCAATGTAATATGCTCATTTGCTGCTCAAGAAACATTTCTTATTATTGTCATATTTTGAAAACAGCTGAGCCACTAAATATTTTTGTAGAAACCCCAATACAGTATTCTTTGGTGAATATAAAGTTAGAATGGGATTATTCAAGTTGACAGAATGTTTCTGGCCTGAGTATATGGAATTGTTTATGCTGATGAAACATTGCAGACTGCTGTAACAAATACCATCAGCCCATTCAGTAATCCTATTAGGGTGTGAAATTAACATGTGCCACCAGCCAAAAAGAGTAATTTGTGTGCAGTGATGGGAAATTTTACTTGCCCACCAACCACTGTGGTGAGCGACCTATAAAATATGTCTGAATGACATTTGACAAGAAATGCAATTGATGATTTGATTATATCTCTTATACTTTCTTTTTTTATATGGCTTTTAAAGCAATTTTGTCTTAAATGTGAACACTCCAACTAAACTCAGACAATCTCAGGAGGTGCTATGAGTTTGATTAATTTATAACGTGCATTGTGAACACAAAATAAATTGAAAAATAACTTTTATATTGTTGTTAGGTTTACTTGATTAAGCATGCGTAATTTTTTAGAAAAACTGTTGCAAAATGTGAGTATCAAAAATTATGCTTCAGGATTTTAAGGAAGGTTTATTTGTTCGTCCCTCAGTCATCATTGTATTGCATTGCATGAAATGTTTTGAAACTGCAGAGCTTTGATCATAAAACTAAGCATTTAAAAATCATGTTACAGTAGGACATTATTAGGAGATATAGAGTGACAAGTGATATTTATATGCATTTTATGTAAGGGTTCTGCCATACTATTATAATGATCTCATTGATTTACATTAAAATCAGAATGCCATCTTACTTTTTGGCCATGAAAATATAATATAGAAAAATATCATAAATAAATGTCATAAATTACAATTGCATATTTTGATTGATTTGGACCACTGAAAAGCCATATAAGCCTGATGTATCAAATATGATATAAAAAAAAAAAAACACATGCAAACCTTTTTTTTTTTAGATTTTGTCTAAACAAATGATTTAATAATTATTTCTTATGTCAGACTTTTCGGGGTAATACATACCCCAACAGAGATTCATTGTACTTCTGGAAAAATATTTCAAAATAATATTCACTCACGCATTAGCATCTGTAATCTAAATATTTGCTTTTATACAATGCTGCAATATAAAGAAAAATGACTGATTGCAGCTTTAACCAAGACCAAAAAGAGAGCTACAGGTTGTTTAATTTTCTAGTTATTTTATGTATTTAAATTTTGAATATAAAGTCTTTAAACGTCTGTTACACATTTCCTACACTGAATCCCATCTACTGCATGATGATTTTGCTGTGAAGTATTTTCAGTTAATATGATGCATCAAATGTGTCCTTTGTTGTCCGTCCCCAGGTTGGCAACAGTAAACACCACCTGCAGGTGGTGAACATCTCCACTGGGAAGAAAGTGAAAGGAGGCTCCAGTAAACTCACCGGTCGAGTGCTTTCTCTCTCGTTTGATGCTCCGGGGAGAATCCTGTGGGCTGGTGATGACAGGGGAAGCATTTTCTCCTTCCTCTTTGACATGGCCACAGGTACAGTACAAAGATATTTTCTTGCATAAAGCATGAGGGCCACAGCCATATCACCCAGCAGCCCAAGACTGGTTGCCCACTGAAATAGTTACTATGTTGGTGATTATGTAAAGCTGAGGTTCTTTTTCCACAGGAAAACTGACCAAAGCTAAGAGACTGGTGGTGAATGAGGGCAGCCCTATCTCTAGTATCTCTGCCCGCTCATGGATCAGTCGAGAGGCACGGGATCCGTCGCTGCTCGTCAACACCTGTGTCAACAAACTACTGCTGTACAGGTTAGAATGCAACTCAGATTGTCACTTTCTCTTGACTGAGATGATTATTGATCAGTGTGGAACTGGTGTTGACAGGGTCGTGGATAATGAGGGAACACTACAGCTGAAGAGGAGTTTCCCCATTCAACACGGATCCCAACCGCTGCACAGCATCTTCTGTCCTCTCATGTCCTTCAGACAGGGAGCCTGTGTTGGTAAGACTGCAATCATCATATTACGGGCAATTTCTCTCTGTTCTGTGTGTCATATATTCGCTACTATTCAAAAGTTTTGGTTGGCATGATTTTTAAATTTGTTTTTGAAAGAAGTCACTTATGCTCACAAAGGCTGCATTTATTTGATCAAAAATACAGTAAAACTATATAATATTGTGAAATATTATTACAATTTAAAATAAGGGTTTTCTATTTAAATATATTTTAAAATGTAGTTTGTTCCTGTGATGCAACGCTGAATTTTCAGCATCATTACTTCAGTGTCACATGATCCTTCGGAATTAATTCTAAAGGGGCGGTCACACTGCACTTTTCGTTCCATTTACTTCCATTCAAATGCAAGCCCATGCCAAAAGTTTCGCATTTTGCTGCATGCCAAAGTTCAAGCTTGGTGAATTCTGACGTGAAGCTGTGTGACCAACAGCATATCGATACGTCACAGCATGACCTCGCAACTGAATTAAAAGAACATCAATTTAAAACTGCAGTGCTGCAGGAAAGTGGAGTAGATTGTATATTTTTACATTTTAGATGTATTATAAATTGTTATGTGTTGAATTTAAGTTTTTAAAAAGACGCTGCACAGCGTGATGTCATATCACGACCGTTGCAGCATACGAAACCGTTTCGCATGCTCAAAGTCTAGTGTGACCGCAGCTTAATGTGTCAACAAACTACTGCTGTACAGGTTAGAATGCAACTCAGATTGTCACTTTCTCTTGACTGAGATGATTATTGATCAGTGTGGAACTGGTGTTGACAGGGTCGTGGATAATGAGGGAACACTACAGCTGAAGAGGAGTTTCCCCATTCAACACGGATCCCAACCGCTGCACAGCATCTTCTGTCCTCTCATGTCCTTCAGACAGGGAGCCTGTGTTGGTAAGACTGCAATCATCATATTACGGGCAATTTCTCTCTGTTCTGTGTGTCATATATTCGCTACTATTCAAAAGTTTTGGTTGGCATGATTTTTAAATTTGTTTTTGAAAGAAGTCACTTATGCTCACAAAGGCTGCATTTATTTGATCAAAAATACAGTAAAACTATATAATATTGTGAAATATTATTACAGTTTAAAATAAGGGTTTTCTATTTAAATATATTTTAAAATGTAGTTTGTTCCTGTGATGCAACGCTGAATTTTCAGCATCATTACTTCAGTGTCACATGATCCTTCGGAATTAATTCTAAAGGGGCGGTCACACTGCACTTTTCGTTCCATTTACTTCCATTCAAATGCAAGCCCATGCCAAAAGTTTCGCATTTTGCTGCATGCCAAAGTTCAAGCTTGGTGAATTCTGACGTGAAGCTGTGTGACCAACAGCATATCGATACGTCACAGCATGACCTCGCAACTGAATTAAAAGAACATCAATTTAAAACTGCAGTGCTGCAGGAAAGTGGAGTAGATTGTATATTTTTACATTTTAGATGTATTATAAATTGTTATGTGTTGAATTTAAGTTTTTAAAAAGACGCTGCACAGCGTGATGTCATATCACGACCGTTGCAGCATACGAAACCGTTTCGCATGCTCAAAGTCTAGTGTGACCGCAGCTTAATATGCTGATTTGCTGCTCAAGTAAATAATATTTTCTTATTATTGTTGATGTTGGAAACAGTTATGCTGCTTCATATTTGATTTTCTTGATTCTTTGAATATTACGTTCAAAATAACAACAATTCTTCAAAATAGAAATCTTTTCTAACATTATAAATGTCTTTACTTTCACTTTTGATCAAATGAATTCATTAAAAAAATCTTTTGAATCATTTGTTTTTAGGTTAGTGTCATGTTAATGACAAACTTTTGAAATCAATCAATTTTCTGTTTGAATGGCACATCACAATCACTTATGAGATTCCTTTTCAGTTAGGATGTTGCCTATGTAGGCAGCTCACTATGTTTTGGAACAAAGCCAAAGTAAGTGAATCCTGCTCTTTCCCTTATGCAGTCACCGGCAGTGAGGATGCGTGCGTCTACTTTTTCGACGTCGAGCGCAACACTAAGGCCATTGTTAACAAGCTGCAGGGCCACAGCGGGCCCGTCCTGGACGTGAGCTTCAACTGCGACGAAAGCCTGCTGGCCTCCTCTGACGCCACTGGAATGGTGATCATCTGGAGACGGGAGCAGAAGTAACCACGGCAACTCCAAGCTTTCGCTACCTTGGCAACAGCATCTTCCGTGCAGGCTAGCTTGAATCATGTGCAATGAAACTCCTACTGTAAATGTCAAGGTGACTGTTGTGGTTTGAGGGAGTCTGAACTAAATCATGTGGACCATGAAAGAAACTTGTGTCTTATCTTTGTTTTAGGGCTGATTTTTCTGTTTTTGGTTATGTGGGACGTGGCGCTTGTTTGTGAAATTCATTAGTGCTTTGTGGTCATAAATGTGCAACTTAAGAGAGGAGATGTTAATATAATACTTTGTTCACCTTTGTGCTTTGTGTGTCTTAGAGTGAGTGTGTGAGAATGAGAACGTTGAGTCAGCGTGAAGTTGCGTTCGCTTGCACAATAACACTACTGTATTTATGCCTTGTTGAACTCAATAAATTTAATCACACTACCTGAATTAGGCTACATTTGGTCTTTCTGTTTTCTTTCATATTTTGTCATGTTTTTTTTTTTATGTATATTTCTCACTTTTAAAGATTGAAGCACATGTTTAATGAAGAAAACCTAGTTATATTTCAAATTTGAATATGAATAGGCCTCCTCAAGTGAATAATATTATTAAACTTTACCCTGTGTTAGGCTTTTTGAGCAATTTTGCCGGGAAGTTGCTTGGGCACTTTCCCATTGAGAATGGGTAACAAATTTCAATCTGGATAATTGAGATCAGTGTTGGCCCTGTGTTTCACCTGGTTGCCCATTGATGGCAACATTCCCCAAATTTGCCTGGCAACATTGCTCAAAAAGTTGCCCCATGTATCATCAGCCTCAATACAGTTTACAATATTTCTTTAATATTTTTGACTATAAATATGATTTTTGGTGACTTGAGACTTCAGATTGACATGAAAGAATAACGAATCGTTGCTATTTTGTATATGTAACGGCTTTTATTTTGAAATTAACATTAATTATTCATAAGCCCACGTTTCTGCGTGTGCTTTTATTTTGAAAAGAAAAAAATTACCTCACGACAGTTACTTGTAACATGTGGGAGGAACTACTTCCGGTTCTACAGTGGGTACGTTAAGCTAAAGGAATAACAAACATACAAATACAACGCAAATTATTAAATATATTTATGTTAAAAACATTTCCGGAAGCTTTGACTAACTTACGCATGAATCATACAGAAAGCGGTAGACAGCTAACTTAGCAGGCAAGTAAAGATTCTACAACATAAAACAACGAACAAAATGAATAAATAAACTTCATAGGTTTCGTTTCCGCTAATTCAGACGTTATCATTTTAAAGACATCTTATAAGGTGTTAAATTAATGTATATTTTCATTCATGTGAATATACTGCTCTTTCAGAGGTGTGGTCCATCTGATAAAGAAGAGTCTCTCTTCTGAATGTGCATTATTTAAAAACTTAAAAGAGGATTCAATGTTTGTTTCTTATAATTATAGCCTTACTATATATTTATATATTACTACATACCATAGTTGCTCCATAAGAATTTATAACATTGTTTAATTGCCACAAACAGATTGATCTGTGTTGTATAAAATTGTGTAATATTATGTATGTTATGTTTTGCTGACTGACAACATGATTTCTGTATGGTTTACATGTATCTGTGCTGTTTTACAGCGTGAAGAGATCGTGGCACAAAGGGAACAGACTATGCCTTTCCTGCACGGCTTCAGGAGGATCGTGTACGAGTACCAGCCGCTGGTGGATGCTGTGATGAGTGTCCTGGGAATAGAAGGCGAAAACCAGCGCAGGTCAGCAAACCAACTGCGTTTTAAAGACTGCAATGATGACAGAGTTGTGTGAACTGCTTTTTGACATCCTGCATTTGACAGGCAAGATGATGAAGAAAGCGTCTCTGGGGCTCTCGTGGAGCTGCTGGACAGAGAGTCTCAGTCTCCCGTCTTCATGGAGGGAATCAGTTACTCTCTGTTTCGAGTGGCTGATCTCGGGTTGGTCAGCGTGGCACAGGTGCTTCTGCGTTACGGGGCTGATCTCAACTTTGAAGGTTTGTAGAGGATTTGGTGATTCTGATAAGCCTCTTTATAATCATAATCAGACCCTTTTCTTACGGATCCAGACCCTGTATCGTACTACAAGCCCTTACACATCGCAGTCTTGAGGAACAAGCCAGACATGGTGCAGATGTTGATATCTCACGGAGCTGAAATCGAAAAGAGGGACAGGGTGAGAATTTATGTAATCATTGAAATGTAATTGTTGTTTCATAAATTTTCAATTAGATTTTTTTTTATTAATTGTAATTTTTTTTGTTGTTTTATTTTGAATACAGACATTTTCTACATTTTAGATCTATTTTATATATTAAAGGCATTTAAAAAAAATTATATGTTTAAATATGAGCTTTTTTTTAATCTGTGCAATAGATTCATGAAAGCAGCCCTCTTGATTTGGCCGGTGAGGAGGTGGATAAGCTGCCGTGTCTGCGTGTGCTTCTGGATTTGGGTGCTGATGTGAATGCAAAAGACAAGAATGGTATTTCAGCTAAATGAACTAATAAAATAGAATGTTACAATAGAATGGTTTCTTATTAAATGTTACACATGCTTGCTCTTTCACAGGAAAAACTGCACTGCTTCATGCTCTGGCCAGCAGTGATGGACTCACAGTCAATAATGTGGACAATATACAGCTGCTTCTAGAAAGAGGTGCTTCACTGTGCATGTAAAACATCAGCTCTGACACTGACATAGAGAAAAGTTTTATTCTGACATGTTTATTAATAGGTGTTTTAAAAATGGTTTCAGCATGGAAAATGGCATTTCTTTCAAATATTAAGCTAAAAGATTTTATATAGTTATTATTGAAATGTTGAAAGAAGTTTAATTGTATAATTTCATATATATATATATATAAAACATATAATAAAAAAA